CACTTTGGCTGCTTGACAGATGCTGCAAGTGGAGTTACTCTCCAGACAAAATAAATCATCCTCATGGCAGCATTTCATTAAGAAAAGCTGCACATATAGGGTTATTGCACAATAACCATTACAGCTGTGCCCCATTTAATGATGGCCATAGTCAGATCTACAAACTGAAGAAACACCACAGGGACAGAGACAAGTTCACTATGCCTACTCTAATCTGAATCAAAATCCAAGCAATCAGTTCAGAGACAAACAGGAAACACTAAGAATATACAGGGTCATGGACAAAAGCAGAACTATAAAGGCTTATAGATGACAGCTGGTCAATGAGATAGTAAACTCTGACACCCTGGAAACCACATTCATTTAATGCAGGCAATCGAAATATGGTTGGTGACTGGTCATCTTCAACAGCATTTAAAATAAAAAAACAGAGTTGCAAACTAGTTATATGTATAGGAGTCTAAATTGCATTTGGCAACTGGTCATTCCAAGGCCAATCACTGTAAACAATAACAGTTCCTTTATAATCATTTAACCCCTTAAGGACGGAGCCAAATGTACACGTTGTGAACAAAACAAAATGAAAACAAAACCTGGTATTTGCGCTTCATGTCTGTCCAAACGTAATTCACCTCTTTCATAGTAAATGCACCCACCCTTATTATATATCATTTTATTCAGGGGAAAGAGGGCTTTCATTTAATATCAAATATTTAGCTATGAAACATAATTTAATATGAAAAAAATGGGAGAAAATACGATTTTTTTTGATTTTTTTAGTTCTTCATGACATTTTAAAGGTCAGTGTCATAATACGATTTGCTTTTACTGCAATAAAATACACATATTTGTATTCAGTAAAGTCTCACGTGTAAGACAGTACACCCTATGTACAGGTTTTATGGCGTTTTGGGAAGTTACAGGGTCAAATATAGCACGTTACATTTGAAATTGAAATTCGCCAGATTGGTTACGTTGCCTTTGGGATTTTATAGTAGCCCAGGAATGAAATTTACACCAATAATGGCATACCATTTGCAATAGTAGACAACCCAACGTATTGCAAATGGGGTATGTCCAGTCTTTTTTAGTAGCCATTTGGTCACAAACACTGGCCAAAGTTAGCGTTAGTATTTGTTTGTGTGTGAAAAATGCAAAAAAACGCCAAAAACGCCATCATAGGGGTAATTTTCATTCTTGGGATACCATAGGGTCTCAAAGGCAACGTAACCAATCTGGCGAATTTTAATGTGAAAAAAATGAAACGCAAGCCTTATATTTGACGCTGTAACTTTTGAAAACACCATAAAACCTGTACATGAGGGGTACTGTTGTACTTGGGAGACTTCGCTGAACACAAATATTTGTGTTTCAAAACAGTAAAAAGTATATATATATATATATATATATTAATTTCACAATACAGTTAGAACGAAATAACACACATCTATATATTTTTTAATTATTTATTTTTAATTATTTTTTAACGTATTTACATTTAAATTTTTTTTATATTATATATAAATATATATATAACAATAATTATATATATATTTAATCAGTATCAGTCTACGTGTAATTTGATATTAATATATATATATATAATTATATATATATTAATAGTAAAATACACCTAGACGTGTGTACGCGGTGTATATATATATATATATATATATATATATATATATATATATATATATATATATATATATGATCTAAGTATATATTATTATAATTTTTTACACTTTTAACTTATTTTAATTTTATTTTCAGCCAGCAGGGGGACCACCTGTCATTACAGGCAGCCCCCCTGCTGGCAATACAGAAGCCAGCTATCCCCGGCCATGTGATTGTGGGGTCCTCGCAAGGACCCCACTCTCACACGGCCGGGGGGCTTCCTGGAGGACGGATGTGCCGCGGGGGGCTCCCTGGGAGTCCCCCCCACAGCGATCGCCGGCGTGGGACCGCCGGCGACCGGGTAAGTACCGAAAGACCGGAGGGCCTACTATTACGCCCGGCGGCGTTTAGAGCCGCCTATAATAGGGCGTAATAGTACGCCCTCCGGTCTGAAGGGGTTAAGCCCTTAATGCTGTTACAGCGCTCTATGTCGTCCTGCATTAAAAGGGCTTTAAAGCCATTGCGGTGGCATAGAACGCCGTAACAGCTTTCTATCCCTGGAGGTCCGGTGGACTTACCTCCGCCGCGATCCTCTTCTGGATGGCTGCCTGACAGCCCAGTCAGCCCTCCCTGGCAAATGAGGCCCCCGGGGGCCATGTGATCACTCAAAGAGCGATCACATGGCCCCCTATAGCTGGATGTGGATCTGACAGCAGGGGGACTGTTTGAGCTCTCAGACAGTTCCCCTGCTGGTGGGAAGAATAAAAAAAAAAAATATTAAACGTGTAAAATTAAAATTAGAAATGTATTTATATATATATATATATATATATATATATATATATATATATATATATATATATATATATGCACGCCGCATAAAGTGTATTTTAATATTAATATAAGCAATACTTATGATATGTTACAAGTATTATGCTATATGGTATGTATAATTACAATAATAAAATAAATAAAATATTGAAACAACAAAATTTAATATATAAATTATATATTCATATGTAATTTCCTGATTTAACTGTTTTTTATATATATATATATATATATATAAAAATATATATATATATATATATATATATATATATATATATATAACAAAATACAAATAGAATGACAATCTATATATAAAATACAAATAACCGCAAATATATATAAATTCATATAATTACATAAAATATTACATTAGTATACAAGTAGAATTTAAATACCTACAAATGCATATATATTAAAATTCTACATGTATATTTAAGTAATCTTTTAACATAATTATGTGATTTGATTAATTAAAATTTGATTGACATGCCTGACAACAGGGAGAAAGTGCAGAGAATTTAATTCGCAAGCACTATATTTGACCCTGTAACTCTACAAGACACCATAAAACCTGTACATAGGGGGTACCGTTTTACTCAGGAGACTTCGCTGAACTCAAATAGTGTTTCAAACTGGTAAATTGTATTACAACGATGATATTTTAAGTAAAAGTGACTTTTCTTTGCATTTTTTACAAACGAACTGCACTTTTATGGACTATATTATTGTTCTTATATGTTTTACTGTTTTAAAACCATATATTTGTGTTTAGTGAAGTCTCCCGGGAATAACAGTACCCCCCCATGTACAGGTTTTATGGTGTTTTGGAAAGTTAGAGAGTCACATATAAGGCTTGCATTTCATTTTTTTGACATTGAAATTTGCCAGATTGGTTATGTTGCCTTTGAGAGCGTATGGTAGCCCAGGAATGAGAATTACCCCCATGAAGGCATACCATTTCTTCCAGTCTTTCTTAGTAGCCACTTAGTCACAAACACTGGCCAAATATTATTTTTTTGCTTTTTTCACACAAAAACAAATATGAACGCTAACTTTTGCCAGTGTTTGTGACTAAGTGGCTACTAAAAAAGACTAAACATACCCCACTTGCAATACCTTGGGTTGTCTACTTTTTCAAATGGTATGCCATTATGGGGGTAATTCTCATTCCTGGGCTCCCACACCGTCTCAAAGGTAACATTACTAATCTGGCAAATTTCAATGTGAAAATGGAAAGTTCTATATTTGACCCTGTAACTTTCCAAAACACCATAAAACCATCGCTGATTACAAATATGTGCATTTTTTTGCAGTAAAACCTAACAGTACTATGACATTCCCAGCTAAAATGTCAGACGGAAATACAAATTTAAAAAACAAAACTCTTATTTTCTCAATTAATTTTAAATTTTATTCATAATAAATTATGTTCCATATATGAATAGTTAATGATAAATTAAAGCCCTGTTTCTTCTGAACAAAATGATATATAATAAGTGTGGGTGCACTTAATGTGACAGCGGTGAATTACGGTTGAACAGACATATATCGCAAATTCCAGTTTTTGTTTTGTTTTGATCAGAACGTGCACTATTGACTCCGTCCTGAAGGGGTTAACAATCCATGAGAAACAATTAACAAAAAGTAGAATCAGACACAGAGAGATAATGATGTAACATTTTTTATTTATCTACTGGATCAGAATATTGTAGAAATATTTTAAAAGGTTTTTTTTTGTTTGTTTGTTTTTTTATCAAACCATATCTAAACATATTTTAACTTATTATAAGCACCCAAACTTTTTAAACTTTTGTGCAATAGACAAACATTCTGAACGATGCTGGGGTGGTAATGCTTAAGGACACATGACATGTGTGACATGTCATGATTACCTTTTATTCCAGAAGTTTGGTCCATAAGGTAGGGATCGACCGATATTGATTTTTTAGAGCCGATACCGATACCGATATTCTGTGAACTTTCAGGCCGATAGCCGATATAATTTGCCGATATTCTGTACATTTACCATTTTGGAAAATAAAAACTATTTCTAAAGGTAAATGCACAAAATATACATGCCACGTGTAGTGGATGCAGTGTGACAGGGGAGCTGTGTGTGTGTGTAGTGGATGCAGTGTGTGTCTTTGTGTAGTGGATGCAGTGTGTGTCTTTGTGTAGTGTGTGTGTGTGTAGTGGATGCAGTGTGTGTTTGTGTAGTGTGTGGGTTGTGGATGCAGTGTGTGTTTGTGTAGTGTGTGGGTTGTGGATGCAGTGTGTGTTTGTGTAGTGTGTGTGGAGGATGCAATGTGTGTTTGTGTAGTGGATGCAGTGTGTATTTGTTTAGTGTGTGTAGTGGATGCAGTGTGTATTAGTGTAGTGTGTGTATATAATGAAAGCAGAGTGTTTGTGTAGTGTGTGGGTAGTGTGCGTAAAGTGAATGCTGTATATACTAAATGCAAAGTGTGTGTGTATATAATGAATGCAGAGTGTGTGTGTATTTGTGTGGTGTGTGTGTAGTGAATGTAGTGTGTTTATATAATGCAGAGTGTGTGTGTTTGTATAGTGTGTGTATATAATGCAGTGTGTTTGTGTGGTGTGCATTATATAAACACACTACACAAACACACTGCATTATATACACACACTATGCAAACACACTGCATTATATACACAAACTACACACAAACACTGCATTATATAAACACTACACAAACACACACACACTGCACAAACACACACTGCACAAACACACACTGAATTATATAAACACACTACACAAATACACTGCATTATATACACACACTACACAAATACACTGCATTATATACACACACTACACAAATACACTGCATTATATACACAGTGTGTTTGTATAGTGTGTGTATATAATGCAGTTTGTGTGTGTTTGTATAGTGTGTGTATATAATGCAGTTTGTGTGTTTGTATAGTGTGTGTATATAATGCAGTGTATTTGTGTGCATTGTATACAAACACACACTATACAAACACACACTGCATTATATACACAGTGTGTTTGTGTAGTGTCTGTGTATATAATGGAGTGTGTGAGGGGGAATTTTTTATTAAATTATTTTTTATATATATATATTTAATTATTATTTTTTGTCCCCCCTCCCTGCTTGTTACCTGGCCAGGGAGGGGGGATATGACAGTCCCTGGTGGTCCAGTGGTATTGGCTGAGCTGGGGGGGGCGGAGAGCAAGCGCTTACTCACCTCCCAGCAGCTCCTCCAGCTCCCCAGTGCAACTCTCGCGGCCAGCGTGTCGCGCGGAGCGTTGCCATGGTGATCCATGGCAACGCTCTGACAGCCGCGGGTCTCGCGAGAGTTGCACTGGGGAGCTGGAGGAGCTGCTGGGAGGTGAGTAAGCGCTTGATGCCCGCTCCCCCCCAGGACCGCCGGGCTTGTAATGAGCCTGGCGGTCCTAGGAGGTATTATCGGCAATATCGGTATCTGAATTGGCCGATACCGATATTGCCGAAAATACCGAATATCGGCCGATTATATCGGTAAAACCGATAATCGGTCGATCCCTACCATAAGGGGTTAAAACTCTGACCTCACATGGATACCTGTTGACTTCGGTTATATTAAAAGAACATTATGGTGTCAGGATTACAAACTTATATTCCTGACACTATAGTGTTTAACTATTTAGATGACTGCCCCCCCTGCAATCCCATGGGAAAGGTGTATTTAATCACCTTTTCTCCCATGCCAGTATTGCCGCAGGTGGCTGACCTACAAGGCTATTGCTCATGCATTGAATCAATACATCTTTATGGGGTACGTACAGCGTCTCCATGCAGTGTGTATACCAAATAGTATAGAGTGCGTAGCGCTTTAGATGGTGTTACACTTACCCCTTAGTGGTTAAAAAATGACAACACTGCAAGAAATGAAAAAAAGAGACACATATAGTGTAAAAATATAATAAATAAGTAAGTGGACAAAATAAAAAAAGGATCCACTCACAGTAGAGAGCCCAGTATGGATAGGCTCAGGTCACTCCAGCATAAGTGTACTAAGGTGACACTCAACCTGTTCTAATGATGTTTACACAACGTTTAGACCCTTCAGGGTATTTATCAATATCTTGATAAAGACCCTGAAGGGTCGAAACGTTGATGTAGATTGATGAATACTTTTTAATACACTATTGGAAAAAGTGAGTGCTCCTGTCTGAATGTGTGTGTGTGTGTGTGTATGTGTATATATATATATATATATATATATATACACACACATATATATATACACATATATACATACAGTGAACACAGTGTGAATGCAGTGTGTGTTTGTGTAGTGTGTGTATAATGAATGCAGTGTGTGTATATAGTGAATGCAGTGTGTGTGTGTGTTTGTATAGTGTGTGTATATAGTGAATGCAGTGTGTGTGTGTTTGTATAGTGTGTGTATATAGTGAATGCAGTGTGTGTGTGTTTGTGTAGTGTGTGTATATAGTGAATGCAGTGTGTGTGTGTGTGGGGTGTATATACTGAATGCAGTGTGTGTATATAGTGAATGCAGTGTGTGTGTTTGTGTAGTGTGTGTATATAGTGAATGCAGT